TGAATCATGAGATGATGAATTTTTAGAGACGACCATCCATCTACATCATTAGAGTTGAGTCTGCTTTGAGAAGGCTGCTCTGCCTCAGTGCCCTCCAAACCTGAAAGGCTCGCCTTCCAACACGTGCCGGTGTTACTCTGCTATTCGGAAGGTTTTCAGAGGCAAAGTCTCCCAGAAGCAGACAGTCTAGTCCCTTTTCCTACTCAGTTCTTGGTCTAGAAGTGCGATTGAAACTGCCGATATTGAGATACCAGGGACATAGTTTCTGGCATCACAGCAACAGGCAAGCCACCACCTACCTGTCAGAAAAACCTTCAGATAAACTGACGACAGAGACGAGCTGAGGGGCGGTGGTGGCTCAGTAGTAGAATGTTCACCTTTCTGCAGCACCTGGTGGAGAAAAACCAGGCTATCTACAAAGGTCTGCAGTCTTGAAAACTTCGTGACAGGTGACTCGCGGCTCTGCGTCGGAATAGACTCAGAGGCAGGGGGTTTGGGTAGGAAGGCTATAGAGCCAAGAGGATTTCAGACATTTGACAATAAAGATCCAGGACCCAAGCTTTCAGTATGGATTCCAACTCAGTGTAAAGGACACAAAGAACTTCACAACTAGACCAGCAACATCATGGTAAACTGAGAAAAAAAAATTGAAGCTGTCAAGGAGTTCATCTTACCTGGATCCACTAGCAATGCTTGTGGAAGCAGCAGTCAAGAAATCAAATGATGTATTGCGTTGGGCCAATCTGCTACCCAAGGCTTTTTTGAAGAACAGGGACATGACTTTGAGAACTAAAGTGGGCCTAACCCAAGCCATGGTGATTTTAGTTACCTCATATGCATATGGAAACTGGACAATGAATACAAATGATTACAGAAGATTGAACGCATTTGACGTTCGGCACTGGTGATGAGTATTGGAAGCACCATGCATAGACTGCCGGAAGAACAAACAGGTCTGCCGTGGAGAAAGGACAGTCAGAATGATCCTTAGAAACACCGATATGAGATTTCGTCTCTCATGGTTTGAGCATGTTATCAGGAGAGACCAGTCCCTGGAGAAGAACATGGTTTTTGGTAGAGAGCGAAAAAGAGGCAGACTTTTGGCAAGATAGATTGACACCGTGGCTGCAACAATACCTTCAATCCTAACAATAATTGTAAGAGTGGCACTAGTAATTGCATCCCCACATGCCCTGCCTCTCACTTCCTGGAAAACAACAAGAAACAAACAAACAAATGAAACATATTGCCATCGAACAGATTCTAACTCATGGTTGTGGGGAGAGGTTAGACTGCTCCCTGCTGCTGGGGACAATGAGCTAAGGCTTGCACCATTAGCTTGGTTCCTGTAGGTGGGGTTTACACCCTACTGATAGTGGTTCCTATGGAGACCCAGAGAACAGGTCAAAGATAAGCTGCCATCCTAAATCTAGGGTCCGCCCATCTTGTCACATGTATACCCCCAATCCCTCCTCTTCCTATTGCATGTATGTCCCCAGACCACCCCCTCTCATTGCTATATAACCTATAGTGCAACCCCTTCCTGTGACATATGTCTTTACCTGTAATTAGGGGGCTTGCACCCCCCCACCCCCCACACCCCCGCCGAAGGTATATAGGCGTGGGTCAGCAATAGAGATCTCTCTCTCTCTGGGCTCTCGCTGGTCGCTCCCCTCTCTTCCCACTCTCCTCTCCTGTCCTCTCTCCCTTCTTCCCTTTCCCGTCCTCCTTCCCTTCCCTTTCTCCCTCTACATGGACCACCAAGTGGGGCTGAGGTGAGCATGCTACCATGTAATGTAATTGGCTGCATTATTGTATCTCTCATGCTCTCGATGACTTTAATATAATACTTATATATCTCAATTGTACAATTGTGCATTAGTGATCCCGAGGGTAGTACTAGCAGTGGGGGCTGGCCCCCCATCCCCTCAAACCTTATACTACACATGGTGATTTTATAGGACAGGTTAGAATTAGCCCTGTGGTTTTCTGAGACTGTAACTCTTCACAGGAGAACAAAGTCCCATCTTTCTCCCGTGGAGTGGCTGGTAGTTGTGAACCGCTGTCCCTGTAGTTAGCAGCCCACTGAGTGATCCCTAAGGCACCAGCACAGGTCCTGCCCCTCACCTTACTAGTGCTGAACTGTTCTTCCTGCTCCTGGACACGGTCTCTGGGTCCCCTCATCACTCACCACCTGCTCGGGGCCATCAGTGCATCAGCACGCAAATACCGACATTCTCACACCAATATAACTTCTCCTGTCTTAAAACAATAATAACCACAACTGATCCCCTGGCTTCTTTCCCTCTCCAGTTCTGTCTCATTTCTGCTTTGCGTCACATCGAGCACACTGGACAGGCCTAGAAAGTGAGTAATAGCAACAGAGAGTGATGTAATCCGTACTCAGGACAGTCAACCCTGTGGGACCAAAAGGGAGGCCCCAAAGCCCAGTTCAGAAGGCAGGATGGGCACGAAGGAAGGTCAAATGGAAACTGGGAATCCCGGAAGGAAATGAGAAAAGGACCGCTCCCTCGAGAGACCTGCACCCAATGCCACAGCACAACACTGTATGTCAGTTGTTGAATGGGAGATGACTTTGCTATGCAAATGTTCATCCAAACTACAGCTTAAACACGCCCCGCAAATCACAACTCCCTGAACAAGTTATCAATACTTGAGGATCCAACAGCTTCTCTCTCATTTTTCAACCCACTTTAGTCAAGATTTTGACCTAAACTTCTCCACCCAACCTGCTCCTCTCAATTGCCATTGGCCTCCATGTTGCTTAACCCAATTGTTTATTCTCAGAGTCTCCTTCTTCTTGGCCCCTCGCCTCATTTACATAGCACCTTGCTCCCTTCACCTTTTCTCTCTTCACGTGGCTGCCCCGACACCTCACTCTCAGATTTCCTCCTGCGGCTTCAGAGCTCCTTCTCCTCATAACAATGGAAGGTCCTGGGGCCACTTTTTCTTCTGTATTTATCCTCCCTCCTTGGCATTTCAGATGGCCTCATGGCTTCAGGTGCCATCTTGAGCAGTGGTTCTCAGCCTTCCTAATGCCGTGACCCTTTCACACAGTGCCTCATGGGGTGGTGACCCCAACCATAAAATTACTTTCATTGCTACTTCATAACTGTCATTTTGCTACTGTTATGAATCATAATGTAAATAGCAGATATGCAGGATGTATTATGTGACCCCTGTAAATGGGTCGTTCGGCCCCCAAAGGGGTTGAGACTCACGGGTTGAGAACTGCTGATCTAGATGGTAAATAGTCTCAAATCTGTATCTCCAGCACACACCATTCTCTTGAACTTCAGACTCATATATCCGGCTGTCCACTTCACTAACAGACATCTCATAGTTAACTCTGATCTTCCGGTCCAAACCCACCCAGCCTAGTCTCTCTGCATGCTCTCAGCGTGGTCCTATTAAAATATAGGCTAGATCACATCACCCTTCTGCTTAAGGACCCCCTCAGTGACCCCTGGCCACTCTTGGTATAAAAGGCAAAGTCATTACCACAACTTTCAAGGACTCACCCAGTCTGTCCTCAATTACCTTTTTCTTCCTGATGCTCATTCTGGTCCAACCATTCTAGTCTCCCCGCTGCTTCCTGAACAGGCTAGTCAAGCTCTCTCCTCCTTCCTTGATGACACTGTTCAAATCAGAACACCTCTTCATACCCACCTTTCCTCGTTCATCTTTTCCTATGACATCTTTCTAACCATAGATTTTACTGGTCGATTGTCTTTCTCATTCATCTCCACTCCACCCCCAGAAGCTCCACCTGCATTGTCACCCAATGTATCTCCAGTACCCAGGTTAGCCCCTGGATTCTCAGTAGGTAGTCAGAAAACTGTTAGTTAAGTGTATGACAATACTAGGGAACTTCAAAAAGTTGGTACAAAAATTCCATGATCTTTTCATTCCATTTTTTCCCCTACAAAGGTTTTGAAGCTCCCTTATCCTATCTTACTATCAAATAAGTTGTCTAGCGCACTATCTTCAGAAAGCCAGTTTTCTAGAGAGGGCGTGCCTGTTTATCTGTGACTGAGAGCCTGACTCTTTCTTAAGTTCTTCTTCACTGTAAGCAGGAGGGATTTGCTGTAAGACACGTTGCTTTGTTTGTGGAGTGAAGTGAGCATTCGCAATGAGCCCTTTAGTGGCTAACCAGTCTGCCTGTCAAACCACTGACTCTTACCCTTTCAGCCAACCACGTGCGACTGAAATATTGTCAACATCTTTCCAATTGTTCGCGAGGTCTTTTGTTTTTGTTTTTAATGTCCTTATGGGGCACAAATGGTGAAGTACTCAGCTACTAACAATGTCTACAGTTAGGAGAAGTGCTGTCACGGAGCCAGGCAGATGAAAGGAGTCTGGCAATTGGCGCCCCAAGGACCACAGCCTTCATAAACCGTAGGGAGTGCAGCTCTACCTGAAGACATGGAATCTTCCTGAGTTAGAATGGACTCATGGCCACTGGCTGTGTTTCCTTTTCTTTTTATTCACGATTATGTGGCTTTGTTTTCCAGGAACTGTTCTTTTAAAACAGGTCACTGTTTAAAAATTAAGCTGATTACGTTTTTTATAGCAATAAGCAGTCTCATAGGTTGTCATAGCATCATCCCTGGGATTGATTCTATTTTTCAGTGATATTAAATAACTTCACATAAGTTATTTTTCAGCGATATTAAGTAACTTAACAGAAAATCATTGCTGCCCATCATGACAATATTTCCTGCTTTGATTAGAGGTTTCAGCCAGACGTGAATTCCGGAAATGTCAGTGCGGATAGGAACACTCCACGCTCCTGCTGGGACACCCTGTGGCTACTTCCTGAGGAACAATGCCTACTCCCATGGATTACAGGACAATGGATTCAAATAAGGCGGAGAAAACACTTAGGATAGGAAATGTCATTCTCCTAGGTCTAATGCAGAGCAGGACAAACTACCCATAATTATGTAGCCTCTCCCCCCACAATAAGAAATACAAGACATTTTTGTAAAATTTATTCACAATGAGGAAGTTGAGATGAAAAAAACAGCTGGCAATGGTGTCTTGCCTTTGAGTTTGATCTAGAAAAATATTCATGAGCACAATTTTCTATATTTTGCTATTTCATTTGGGGAATGATCAGGAGTCTCTTGTATAATTATAAAACTTCAGGTTTCTACATCATTTATCATAATATTGTCTGGAATTCCGAAAATGTTCAGTCATGGGTGATCTTGGTATTTCTGGACTTGATATTTGATAGAAGTTGGGTAGCCGGATATCGTAGTGATAACTTTTTCCTACATACACTCTGTCATTCAAAGCGTAGAGTTTATCTGCAATGTCACTACCAATTAACACTGAAAACAGGCGGGAGATGTAACGATGCTGGGCAAACAGCAAATATAATTTTTTTCTCCTCCAGGACACGTAGCGGCAATCCGTTTCCGCTGTTAGGGTTACCTGAAAAGTGTAAAGCCACACAGAGGCAAAGATTAGGAAGCAAGAAAAATCTTGCCACTTTTCTCCCCCTCCCTCAACCTTTTCAACGAATCTCATTTTCTTTTCTTTTTTTCTTTAGGTTAAAAAAACCCCTCACAGACCCATAATATTTAGTAAAGATATCTTTAGAGATATATCACTAGAGATACATTTTGTAATATGAATAATCACAGTGCTGTCTCCATCTTCCATTTCCCTGCCCTCTAAAATTCGGCATCTGCTCTGCAAAGGAGAGCTAGCTATTGATACTGAAACATAAAGTAAAATTGGTGAATGTCAAAGAAGAATTTCTGGGTCATACCTGGAGACTGCGTACATTTAACCATCACCCAATTTCTATAATACAAATTAGAAAAGTAGAATGTGTACACATCCTTTGTGTATGTATTTGCATACATACATGTGTTATACATATTAATAGGAAAATAATAACAGTGTACAAGAGTAGCTGGAACCTACTGACATGGTATCTTTCAAAACGACCACATGTGGCAGCTTTGAAACGAGAGCAAGCTTGGTATTTTCTTGCTAGCAAACCAGCTAACTCCACCAGCATTACAAATGTTGTAAAACCCACCAGTTTTACAAGGAATGCCAATATTGTGTTCTAGTTGTATTTCTGAACTATCACATGGGCTGTGTTTTGCTTATATACAGTTAACTCTCAAATATATTTGAATTTTCAAACACGTCTCACAGAAGAAACCTCGAGAATATCACTGCCTGTTTCCTGTCATCGTAACACCGTCCTTCCCCTTCATCGTCAGACTTCCTGTGACATCAGTGAGCAGGAGTCCAACAGAATTGGGGAGCCAGGCTGCAAAGCACATCCCCCAATTCACTATAAATTATTTTGCATCATCTGCTGTTTAGTTTGTTTTTAAACAATTGCTGTTTATTTGTTTGGGAGCCTTCACTGTGAGTTCAAGCTCTTCCTCACCTGAAAAGTGCCTTCCTCTGTGGGTCTCAGCGAGTCCCACTCCGGAGAATCCAAGAACTGAAAGGGGAAGATGTAATGCAGGAATTCGCCATCAACTGTCACTCTGATCCTAGCAAAACACAAAGAACACCCTGCATGAGGGAAGGAGAAAGACAGCACGTAATTGGGGTGTGGTGGCATTTCAGATCTCTGATGACCTTTTTGCCTTTTCAGATTTTTTCTTGTCTGTTAGACTTTCAAAGGGAAACAAATGAACTCATACATTACGAGACGGATGACACACCATCCTGCAAAGTTCATGTATCTACGTTCCTCACACAGGATTCTGGATGTGCTGAGTGAAATATCAAGCTGTGTATATATCTGTGTTTATATCTATGATATGTGCACAAGTATTTTTGTGTGTATAGGTATGTATAACTACATGTGCTTCAACAAAAAGTTTCAGAACACTTCATCAGATTGCAAATTATATAAGAGAATGTATAAGAATATTATACATACCTGTACATCCCTCTGTAAATGAAATGTTTAATCTTTCATTTAGGCATGAGAAATCTGCATTATTTTTTTCCCTTCCCCCAAAGTTCTGTTTTCAAAATTTTGATATTATGTATATTCTTGAAGTCCTCTCCCCTTCCTAGCAATGAATGATTATTAGACTAAACTGAAAAAAATTATCAAATTAAAATTTTCTCTATTACTTAAAATAATGCTATATTAAAAATGCCAACTGAAAGGTGGCATCATCTTCTTCTTGGCTTTCAGTGATTAGTCTGGAACTAAGCAGAGTAAACAGATTCATACTTTAATTTTAAGATCCACGTCATTTGATTTCTAGGAAGAGACAGGCTCTAGATTGTTTCCTGCTTCAAGTAAACAATCCGTGTACTCGAAATGACTCATATATCAAAGTCTTTCTCAAGCCTCGAGGTGCTAAATGCCACCCATGACTATGCTACACCGAGATGGGAAACCAGAAAAAACAAATGTAGAGAAGTCAAACTTAAGTACCAAGAGTACAAACCTTCCAGAAACAAGCAGCGAGAGCTTATCAATGGGCGTTTTCCCCTGCATGGCGTAACAGTGCTCTTTTTCCAATGTTACCACCTCAGAGCTCAGAGCAATGGTTCTGAAGACGGGCAAAGTGATCCCCAGAGGCTGGAAGAGGGAGCTGTACAGCACCTGGAATTCTCGGGCGAAGGTTATGCTGCGGAATTGATAGGCAATGTGCACAAATTGCATGAAGCAAATGACAAACAGTATGAAATTCCAGGAGAATATGTCGGCCGCACAAACTTCTACCCAAGCCCACACAGCAGAGCAGAGAAAACCCAACCCCAGCAGACTGAAGATATAAAGGAGCCCGAAGAATCCACTTCCGCCCATGAAACCTACTACAAAGAAAATACTGGCGAGGTGATAAATGGCCACTTCGGCATCTTGCTTCCAGGTGATGCAGACTGGGTGTTCATCGACGAGGTTCTTCCATAAACTTGAGTTTTTTTCCATGGCTGGCTCACTTTTCAGTTGACTTTAGGAGATATTTATGCAAGTAATTGTGGTTTTCTGCTTCTTCATCCTCAGAGTTTTACTCGTCTTCATGAAAGCAGAGAAAGCCTGGCACTGGCGTTGTGGTGAAGTGTTTGGTGTGTACAGGCGGAGAACAACTAAGAACCCCGTGCCAATTTCTTTAAGTTCATTGGGACTCCAGATTTAGATCTATTCAGTAAATATTTTGCTGCTTCCTATAAAAGAGAGGAAAAAATAAAGCAACTAATTACATAAAGAGAATAGAGGCATATTGAATGAATCAATGTAATTTAAGCAAATTGACATACTATTTCCTATAAAGGTAGAGTATTAATTAAATTTCTTTGATATGAAAGCACACTTTAGAGTTAAGCGTAATGATAGTAATAAGTTATTTACAGTAGTGTTCATAATTAGATGACTTCGTTGTCTACATATTTTCCAGGACGCTATGGCTTCCTTGGCTATTCTCAGATAGCCGTCATAATAGTAGTTCACGGTACCCAAGCATCATTTGAGATGAAAAAACCGACTCTACTGCGATTTGATTATGACTCATAGTGATCTATATAAGTCAGAATAGATCTGCTCCTTAGGGTCTCCAAGACTAAACCTTTGCACTGTTCTTTGAAATTCTTGCTTCAGTTCCTTTACTCCAGTGTTTCTTCCAGTTGTTTTAGGGACTATGTTCTCAAGAGGAAATTTCAGAGTCCTTTCTGACATCCACGTTAGCCTTCTCTCGCCTGTCCTTTAAGTGACCTGTGGTTTCTCTTCTATGATGCTCTTCAGATTATCCCACAGCTCAACAAGCCTTCTGTCATCAGTGCTCAATGCAGCAAATCTGTTCTTGATATTCCGGTGGGAAATACTCAAGGTCATATTTTGGTTCTTGTGGACTTGTTTTAATTTTGTCCAGCTTCAACTTGAACTTACATGCTAGTGATTGATTGTCTGTTCAACAGTCAGCCACTGGCCTTATTTTGGCTGATATTGAGCTTCTCCATTATCTCTTTCTACAGATGTAGTCAATTCGTGTGTGTGTGTGTGTGTGTGTGTGTGTGTGTGTTTTATCCTGCAAGGTCCACATGTAAAGTCACCATTTCTGTTGTGAAAAAAAAAAAAAAAAAAAAGGCTGTTTGCGGTAAAGAAGTCATTGGCCTTGCAAAATTCTACCATGTCATTTCATTTCTATCACCAGACAGATTTCCCAACTACCAATTGTCCTTCTTTGTTCACAACTATCACATTCCAATTGCCAATAATTATCAATACATCTTGATTGCATGCTTGATCGATTTCAGACTGAAAAGGGTGGAGAATCTTCAGTTTCTTCATCATCAGCTGCAGTGGTTGGTGGGTAAATGTGAATTTGCATTAACTGGTCTTCCTTGTTAGTGTATAGGTCTTAGCCTATCACAAACAACACTGTACTTCAATATAGATTTTGAAATGTTTTTCTTAACAATGAATATGATGCCATTGCTCTTGAATTTATCCTTCCTGGCATAGCGAATCACCTGAAGATCTGACTCACAATGGCCAGTCTCAGTCCATTTCAGGGCACGGATGCCTCAGAGATTGGTCTTTGTGCATTCCATTTCATTTTTGATGACCTCCAATTTTTCTACTTTCATACTTTGTACATTTCATGATCAAATTAGAATGCTTGCACTGCTTCTCCTAACTTTGAGTTGTGCAAATAAAAATCCCCACAACGGGACTAATAACATCATGATAAATAGAGGAAAATTGAAGTTGTTGAAGATTTCATTTTACTTGAATGCACAATTGACCATTATGGAGGCAGCAGTCAGGGAATCAAAGGATGTATTATTGCATTGGGAAAACCTGTTGCATAAGATATCCTTCAAATGTTAAAGAACAATGAGGCCACTTTGAGGATTCAGGTGCCTCTGGATCAAGCTGTGACATTTTCAGTCACCTCATATTCAGGTGAAAGCTGGGCACGAATAAGAAAGCCCACAAAAGCAATGATGCATTTGAATTCTCGCCTTGGTGAAGAGTATTGAACGCGACCACGGACTGCCAGGAGGACACACGGGTCTCTCTCAGGGGAAGTAGAATCAGAGTATTCCTTAAAAACTGAGGATGGTAACACGTTGTTCATGCACTTTGGGCATGCTTTCAGGAGAGACCAGTCCCATGAAGAAGAGGAGATTCACAGGAGATGGATTGACAGAGTGGCTGCAACAATGAATTCAAACATACCAACAATCGAAAGGATGGTGCAGGGCAGGGCGGCGTTTTGTTTTATTGTACATGGGGTTGCTAGGAGTCAGAACTGCCTTGATGGCACCTAACAACAACAACAACAACAACAACAACAACAACTACTACTACCAATCTTTGCTGGTGCAGACAGCCTCATCTCTCTTCCTTTGAGTGGTTGGTGTGTTTTATTTTAAAGTACAAAAGAGACCCCAAGCTCAAATATAACTTAAGTCTCAAACAACACAAAGACAGACACATCAGGGGCACGATGAAGCCATTAGCACGAGGTCACAATGGCATATGAGGATCCAGTCAGGTACGAGTTAAAGAAGCCACAGAGCAAAGGAAACTGCCACAAACTCATGCCTGGCGGCAGATCAAAACATCACAATTAAAGGTGGGAATACAGACGTTAGCACAGGACCATGATTGGGACACATACATTGTTAGATAGAAGGGCTTATAACATTGGTCCAGGGCTTTCAATGAAGGCATGACTGATAGGGAAAGACTCAAGACTATTTGGCCCCTAGTACTGTCCATCAAGGGCATCCCAGGTAAGCCTCTACGAGACTTTCCTTCCTTGGATTGGCTGGACATAATCTACACTCCAGCGCACTCTGCCTGAGGGCAAGATTCTGTTCTTGTTGTTCTTGTTAGGTGCTATGGAGTCGGTTCTGACCCATATGACCTGAGGCACAACAGAAGGAACAGCGCAGGGCCCTGCGCCCTCCTCACAATGGTTCCCATGCGTGAGCCCCCATTGCTGCAGCCACCATGTCAATCCATCTCCATGAGGGCCGTGCTCTTGTTCAGTGCTCCTGAACTTGACCAAGCCTGATGTCCTTCTCCAGGGGCTCATCTCTCTGACTACACGTTCAAAGTCTGTGAGATGAAGTCTTGCCGTCCTTGCTCAGGAGCACTCTGGCCTTACTTCTTCAACACAATCGGTTTGTCCTCTTAGCAGTCCACGGTACTTTCAATAGTTTCCCTCAGCACCACCAATCAAATGCATCGATTCTTCTTCAGTCCTCCTTATTTAATGTCTAGCTTTCACATGCATATAATGCAGTTGAAAATTATTGACATCCTTGGGTAATGATTCGAAGGAATTCATTGGAAGCTTAATATGCATGGAGACTGCTAATGGATTTTGGGTTTTCGTTGTCATCTCTAGCCTCCTGCAAACAGGGGGCTCAGAATTTAAACTCCAATACAGTGAATCATGAACTTGCTTGGAACAGCCTACTGGTACCACCAGTGCTCCGTATAAGTGGAGATAGTGACCAAAAAAAATGCAGCTTCCTAGAGGCTGCTGTCCGACCAACAGAGCCTGAACTCTGAGGGTGGGCCCAGGAAGAAGCCTTTGGAAGAAGCTTCCCATATGCCTGTATCAATCTATGCCCCACTCTTTGACAGATGTTGTCTAACAATATTTATTCATTCTGAATAGATGAATTTGAGGTTCAGAGAGACTAAGTAATTTATTTGAGGACACACAGTCCTCGATGGCAGACCATAATTTCAGCACTGGTGCCTGTGTGCTGGGTCCAATCACGTGGCTGCTCACAAAAGATTGTTAAATGATGCACTATTGCTGTTGCTCACTGTTGTGGGTGGGCTCTGACTGCCCAGACCATAATGGTCCACGTGACTGCTGCTGTGTTTGGTCTGTTCTTGTGACGATATGCTCATCCAACTCACTGAGAGGTCCCAGGTTTCACTGACCCTCTACTGGACCAAACATGATGCCTTTTTAGGCACTTTAGCGAGCCCGAATAAATCAATAAACATAGAAAACATCTATAGAGGAATCATATTTTAAGAATACACACTAAGTGGAGAAAAGGTCTAATGAATTAGATTGAAGGGTTTTGGCGGGAGGAGTTTGAAACGTATTATCAGTATCACTTTGGTGTATTAAAGGTTATTCTAGGCTAAAGGTTTGCATCTCTAAAATGAAATAAATAATATTAAGATCCCTGCTACTTACACCTTAACTTACCAGATGGTCAGAAATGTTACTGACTCTGCACATACATTCTCTACCCTTGCAGCCATATGGTAAACATCCTGAGGTGTGAGTCTGAGTCAGGAGGGAATGAACCAGGATGACAGAGAAGTAGTCTGTATCGTTTACCACCGAGCTTCTTAAAAACAATTCGTTTCAAGGTGATGTGCTCATTAGGGTGATATTTTTTAACTATAATACCATTCATAAGCTTTGAACTTAGGCGTTATCTTAGTGATTTTATTTTTGAAATATATCATTTCCATTTTTGAAATCTGTCACACCTGCTAATAAAAGATTGGATACCACAGATCTTGTCCCATGAGGTGGAGTAGGGTGGGGGTAGGATACACACAGAGAAGTGTAAAACGGTGACAGTATATTCCCCAGCAGAACTAGAATTGGAAATAAAGGAGGCTCTGCTGTTGTTGAAGATCTGATTTTTCATCTCAGATAGTGATATCTTTTCCATCAAATAAGAATTATCATAGCATTTCTAGTGAGCTCATTAAAAATGATTAAGAAGCATAGACACAGACCCACACGTATGCACACACACAACCTTTGACCTCCACTTTACACTCACATTGTTATTTTTACTTGTTTTCAAATACATTTCAAACACTCTGCAGATTATTAATTACTCTTTCCCCAGATAATTCTCTGAGATGGCGAAATTTAATCAAGCATATTCAATTTCAATTTCCCCCATGTTTAAACAAAGTCTTTTTTTTTTTTTTAAAGAAGCAACTGTATAATTACAACCCAGAATGTGGGTGAAGGGAGACAATGAACAGTGTAAGATAAGAAATAATAATAACAATATATAATCAATCAAGGATTCATCAGGGTGGGAGGGTGGGGGAAGGAGGAGGAAAAAAGAGGAGCTGATACCAAGGGCTCAAGTAGAAAATGTTTTGGAAATGATGATGGCAACATATGTACAAATATGATTGATACAATCAATGTGTGGAATGTTATAAGAGCTGTAAG